ACATCTCATACTGTAGTGGCCTAAAATAACGCGGTGCTGCACAGGAGCCGAGACGCAGTTACCAAAGCTTACCACACAAGACGATGCGCAGTCAAACTTCTCCGCAGGTCTCTCACACACACGCAGACTGCACTGTTCACAATTTGGCATCAATTCCTAAGGCCGACACCTCCATCCGCGCACAATAACTGTATGTTGGAAAGAGAGAGGAAGAAGATGTGGACTGACTTCACTGTCAGCGAGCTTTATTTCTCCCCAGAGCGATTAAAAGGTTGGCAGCGAAAAAATAAAGGCTTCCCAACACTTGTGCTGACTGACCATCCTTTAGTTTGGTCTCCGAGGAGCCGCGAGCACAAAGCCAGCTTAGCAAAAAATCCAATAGTGTATCCAAAGGAAAAGCTGAGTGCAAATGTAGAGTTTGGTGCGAAATGAGCAGGCGAGCGTGCAGAGAAGCGGGAGGATGTGTGGCCAGTGAGCGGAGGAGAGATGCTGTAGAGGGATGAGAGACGGAGAGGGGAGGGAGGGGGAGGTGGCAGAGGGAGGCAAAAAAAAAGAGGCAAAAATCAAAGTGTCCGTAGTAATAATCCACAGCATGAGAGCCATCAGCAATATTAGCCGTAAAAGCTTTACTTATTTAATGTGAGGTTAAAGCTACACAAACAGAAGTGGCTTATTTTCATTTCAACGCTGTTCTATTGTTTTAACAGGCAGCTGCACTCATGGTATACTGCACTGATCTACTGCTCCCCTCCAGTGCTCTAGTGTATTTGCAAACTACAAATTATTTGTATTTTATCAACATCCAGTGACATCCACCGTACCCACTGTATCTAGACTGTAGTAAAAAGAAGGATGCGTCTACTTCCAATTTATTTATTTAAAAGGGACAATGCAGTTCAACATAGTTCCAATATAGAGCACGAAACTCTGCAATGCTGCACATCACAGTTTATAGCTATTGCTCATTTCCAACCCTTTTCCCTCATTATATATAATACATTTATACTATGTTACAACATTTAGTTACATAAAACCGTAATATATCATCAATATAATATAAAACTATCAAAAATTCGCAGTGTAAGATAAACCTTTTCTCTGTTTTTATAGTGTGTTTTTTTCCGAGTCTGAACAGTAAAGCTGAAGCCCCATGTTTCAAAAGGACAGCAGAGGGCGACTCTTTTTGGTTCGTCTATAGAAGTCTTTGTGAAAAAAGAGCCTACTGCTATCAAAATCTGACCCAAGTAAAGACTTTCCCGATGAGTTTATGTTCTCAGTCACCATTTCCATATTTTATTAATTACAATAAGATTTCCACTTTGTAAATTATGGCCCCAGTTAGAATGAAAAAGAGCAATCAAGCTAACTCTCCTTTAGGGAGGACCCTTTTAGATAAGTTGTCAACTTAAAAAAATTAAAACTCAGTTAAATAGCCTCATTAAGAAGTCTAGTTTATTTTGTATGCACAGAAGCTAAAATATACATTTAGTGTCAGTTTCTGTGCCCCACATACTAAAAATCAGATTCAAATAAATAAAATGAAACAAGTTAAAGACGCAAATGAGTGAAACAGAAAGTAGAGATAATCTAATATAAAAACTAGTACAAATGGATTGAAATCCATGCAGTATGGCACAGTTTCACAGTCATCACATCATGGTGACAGTCAACATGCTCACCTGAAGGCTTCATAAAAGGACCTTACTAACCAAGGGGTGGCGTCACAGGGGCTGCATCCATCTTTTATATACAGTTTATCACTGTACGGGATAATACAGGATAATACGGGATGATACGAGACTGTGAATTATGAACTGAACAATTGTTTTTGATTTGTCTTGTCAAACAATATTGCTTGAGAATGGTTTGCATGAATTTCCAACAGCTGTAGATACCCTGAGTGTAGAGAAACCTGGAAAACGATGGTGTTGGCCTCAGCCTTGTGTTATGAGATTCAGAAGCATTACACTGACTGAAAACCATTTGAATGGTACGTTCTGGTACTGCTTACTGATTCAGAAGTCATTTCTTTAATGTGGGATTTTGTGTATTTATGCTTTAGTCGGTTGTGCCTCTCACTAGTGTTTTGTATTAATGGCTCGATTCATGTGCTTTATTGCTTTTCAGTGTGCTTACTTACATGGAGGAGGCAGTGGTTAAAAATAAGCCATTTAGTTTGGACTGATGCTTTCTCCATTTCTCTGAGATTATTGTGGTCCTGACCTAAGTGGGACATTTTAAAAACTGGATCCCGGTTTGGTGGTTAGTGGTCCAGACTACTTGAAGAGACAACATGTCACTCTGTGCTTCTCAAGGAGGCACAGAGAACCCTCTACGACAGGAATCTGCATTTATTTCAAAGGGTTACGGTCGACTTACTTCCAAATGACTGGGTTATTTTAAATTCCACAACACAAGTACAAGTAGAAAGATTGGCTTGTGATACTGCAGCAACAACTGGTACTTGCGTGTTTCTAACAATGTGCAATAAAACTGGATCGGGAACAAATCTCCTGTAGGGACATAGAACGAGTCTGTAAAAGTCACCGTACTCACACGGAAAGTAATCTTTTCTTTTCTGTGTTTGCAGGAATGCTGTTGATGGAAACAAAAAGCTGTATGCCATCTATGATACAAGGTAAGAATCAATCCCTAAACACTGCTTTCTTGAGGGCTGCAACAAAAGGGAAACTTTATTAGAAAAAGTTGCAGAGTGTTCATTCTGAAAAGTGGCAGAAAACCAGAGCGGCTCTCTTGAATAAATAGGAGAAATCTTTTGGTAGGCGTCCAACTAAAGCACAATCTCATTCCCTGCAGCAGTATTGAACTTCTTCCTCTACGGCAAACACTGGAGCAGAGAGGGAAAAAAAAGAGCTCAGTGAGCATTTTCATGAAATCTTCGCTAGAACAACTTAAACTGATTGGCACTCGTGGGGGTGCGAACATTGTTTTCATTAACAAGTAAGGCTGAGTCAGATCTTCTAAAATTAGCATTGAGCTTTTAGATCTCCAACCTGCTTTTACCCTGTAACCAAATCTGGAAAACCTAAGACAATTAGACCTGCACACTCCACTACTTAAACTTAGCAACAAGCACTGTGTTCAAAAGTGGTCGTTTTGGAGTATCAGTAAGTGCTAATGCACAGTACAACATTAGCATTAGCATTAGCATGTAGTAGCTGCAGTAAAAAAAGCAAGCTTATCAAAGCAGGTGAAGCACAAAATACTGAGGGACTGAGTATTATCAGTTTATTGTTGTAAGCAGCTGGTGGTCATTCTCCACTCAGGTGCTTTTAAACCATTGCAGAAGATGAGGCCGCACCAGTAATGATGACTTGAATTATTTCAATCCAAACTCTTCAACCTTTTCAAACCTTCATAATCTTCACCAAGTACAATTTTTTTCACATTTCTATTCAAAAAGAAAATGAAACTGTGTTGTTAAAAATTTGCATAAAAATGGAAATGCACCTTCTGCTAATCAGATAGTTATTAGCTACAATTTTCCAGGTTAGCAAGTGAAACTGTAGCATGTGCATTGATCTTGGTGAAGAAAACTCCATAAACAGTAGCAAGCAGATGACACGGGATCCTATGGCTACGTCCACACTAATGTGTTTTCAAATGAAAACGCATTGTTTTCTCTCCGTTTTAGCCTCCCGTCCATACTGAGACGGCGTTTTCACTCAAGGAAAATGCCGCGTTTTTAAAACGCTCTCGAAAACACATACATTTGAAAACGGTGCTTTTGCATCGCAGTGTGGACAGCAAAAACTGAGACTTTTTGAAAATGATGACACATTTTAGTCATGTGATGCAGTCAAGTAACCAATTAAACTACGATAGCGGAGGGCAGTACACAGCAGTGGTTTTGTTTGCTCTCAATTTTGACAGCCCTATTAAAGATTAATATCAGTTTGTACATGCTCCAGATAGCTTTTCTTCAAATTCTTTAATTCTCACTCGCTTTTGCAACTTTGTACTTTTGTGTTACTCGCAGCAACAACTCCACCTCATCGTTAGTCCATTTAAAAAACTCGGTGCTTTTCCTCGACATTTTGTTGCAACGTTTCAAAGAGCCGGACAGTAAACAAATGGCAGACAGAAATGAGGCAGGTCAAACTGTCTTGCGTTTCATGCATGCGCAGTACTGGAACATAAGCGTTTTCAGTGTGAACGCACAACTCTGTGAAAACGACTGAAAATGATAGTGTGGTCGCGGAGCGTTTTCAGACAAAAACGCCGTTTTCAAATCTATCCAGGCTAGTGTGGACGTAGCCTATGTTAGGGTGAAAAGTACTTGTGGTGCTGAACTGAACTGTTGCTACCCAGACAAAGGAAGCAGCTTGGAAAGCAACACCCATGTTGAGAATTATCACACCTAGAATTGGACCAATAAATCAACATAAGGTGCTAGCAAGCAGTTGCTCTGTTGTGTGGTGATTTATGGATTTGTTTGAGAAGTGAAAGGTTTCTAGTTCAAGTCCAGCCAGACATTCAAGGCTCCTTTTCGGTTGTGTCAGGAAAAGCATAAAACATGCGTAGCTATCTGCTGTGTTGATAAGTAACATTTAACATCAACAAACATATGCTTATCTTTTACCTGGTTATGAATGTCTCACCATGCCATGACACTGCATTCCACTAGGGCAGCGTCATAGTTATTTCTGGCATTCATTAATACTTTGATTAAAAAGGAGAGAGCAATCTGACTAACAGACTAGTCTAAAAAAGAGGGAGAAAAAAACCCCAACAACCCCGCATTCAAAGGGGGGGGGGGGGAACTGTGAGATTATTCAGTTAAAGAAATGGGCAGGGGTCCCCCGACCTCAGCACACCCTTCAGCACGCCACTGCGTCTGAGCGTAGCTGGGCCGCCCCAGTCTCCTCTGTCAATAGAACCACTCAAACAAGCTGCTACTGTTAAAACAGACAGTCACGTGCCCTGAAATCATCCCCATGACACTCGCGCGTACTGACATGAAGAGTCATTTTCCAAGCAGCTCTGCCAGGCTGAAGCATGCAGTGTGCTTTAACAATGCGGACCTGTGGATTTCTGCGGTATTTCTATACATTTCTATAGTATTGGGCACTTTGTAGTTTGTGCTAACTGGTGAAAGGCTAGAGGATGGGGATGCTGGGCAGCAGCAGCAGGCTGTGCGAGGCTTTCCGGCTCCGCTGCTGTGTCACAGCCAGCGAGCAGCACATCTGGCAGTGAAGCCTGCGCCTCCTGAAGCCGCACAGGCTGACAATGTGGAGGGCGTCTCACCTGGTTTAGGGGGTGTGTGTGAGCACCGCGGCTCACTCTTCATTTAGTCATTTGTCGGTCGCTTGACTGCAGCTGTGCACCCAGACAGCACCCGAGGGATGTGGGGCAGCCAGGGAACAGGTCTGTTGGACGCCCTCTCTGTGCCGCTGGTCGTGGCCGTGATGTGCTGCGCCCAGAGGTGAGTGTGTCTGCGGGGTTAAAAGTCCTGGCGTCCGCTTTCAGGAAGACTCACCGGGGGGGTTATTCTCTTTTTTCAGCGTCAACGAACCGGGGAACATGTCTTTCGTCAAAGAGACAGTGGATAAACTGCTCAAAGGATATGATATCCGTCTTCGGCCAGACTTTGGAGGTATAACTATCACTGTTTCTTTGCTGTTTTATGTGACTGAATTGCTCATCCGTAGTTAACTTTATTTTGCTCTGTTTTAAGGTCCACCGGTTGCTGTTGGCATGAGTATAGACGTGGCAAGTATAGACATGGTGTCAGAAGTCAACATGGTAAGTATAGCACACAAATCCTCCTTCAGATCTGAGCCATTTGTGGCTGTGTTTGACTTCCTTTTCTTAACCAATGAAAAGTAGCTCAGATTTGTTTTGTTTGTTTGTTTGTTTTTGCTTTTTATTGCATATAGGTTTACAAATATAGATCACATATAAGTTTATGTGAAGGTGGTTTAATTTGTCCCATAAAAATGTCCTTCTCTGCTTGTATATATGGTTGCCTTCCTGTTAATATGAATTTCTTTCTCTCCACCATCCCCACCATGCTAGATGTCTCTCTCCAGTATTGCATTATCAAAGCAGCTAATTACCAGCCCTTTATAAAGCAAAAACGTGTTGCCTGTTGTTGCAACTGTATTGCATAGACTGTGCAGTTCATCTGCTGAATTAGATTATAGCTAGTTGTGCTGTGTGGTTGCACACCCTGGGTCACTGGCTGTGTGCGTGTAGCAGTGATGCCTTAGTGGTCCTGTTAGAGTAAGGTCAGTAAGTTCTGTTACTGTGTCTTCTCCTTTTAAACAATGATGCAAATATAGTGAAGCTACTTTGTTGCAAGTGTGCGCCCGTGTCTGTGTGCATGTGTTGAGTACAGTTTATCACCTTTACGCCATCTATCAGGGCTCTAAACTGCTGACAGGGCTCGATGTCTGATCACATGCTACAGAGAGGAAAAAGCCCCTGACATGCTGTCCTGACAAGTCTGTGTGATGAAATGTATCCGTGGTGCATTTTAATGCATCTCCACACAGCAGCAGAGTGTGGCTCGCTGAGACATTTTTATTGTGGAAGTGAGTTAGTTTCAGTTTGTTGCGTTAAATAGAGTGGTTTCATCAAGAAAATGCAGAGCGAGGCTGTTTTACACTCACACACAGTGCATTGTTAGATTTTTACCAGGGATAAAACTTGGACTTTCTTAGTGTTGGATTTGGATTTTCATTGAAAATCAAGAGTGGCGAAGACAGACACAGTGCAGACACTTCTTATGCAATGCAATCTCTAAATCCCTATCATCATTGTTCACTTTAAATAAATGTCCACGAAGCTGCAACTTGCCTGAGAATCATCCTGTTTCTCAGACTCCATTATAATCCAGTCATGGCTGCCTGTATACCAGCGGGAAAAAACTGCAAGCAGGAGCTGCTAATGGCTCCTGCAACATATTTTTAATGGTGTACTAGTAGTTAGCTTAAATTTATCTGTTTTGAAAACTCCTCAAATATAATAATCAGTTTTATACACAGGAGAAATACTGCAATTGTTAAGCAGTGTCAGTGTTCTATACTGCAGATGAATAATACACCAGCCTAATAATGTATGCACCAGTTATTGTGGACATAAGCACAGCGTTTGGCTGCTTAGATGTAAGCCTTTGGTTGCACAGAAAAAGAGACAAACACATCATTTTTCAGTGTCATTAGCTCTGAAAATCTATGATCTGTTAACTGAATTTTAGCACTTAATGGGCCAAACATAATATCCGCATTAGAGACCACGCCTGCTTTTAACTTGAGAGTTTATGTCTGCCCGGACCATCCTGCATGAAAGCATTTAGCTTCTTCATATCAGACTGTCTGTGTTAGTAGCTGTAGGCATGCAGATGGGTTCAGAGTTATCTCCTCCTCAGGCTGGAGGAACTGGAAACCTCTAGAAAAGAAACAGTCCCAGTGGCACTCGTGATAAAAATGTTCTGCTTGTGATAAAAAATGATGGGACACTGTCTCCACGAGGCATTAAAGAAACACTCACTTCTTTGAGTTGTGAGACAGACAAAAATATCTGCAAATTCTCAAAGGAACGTGCATCATTGAACCCACAGGAACACGGTCCTAAATCAAGCACATGTCATTCATTCAATGACATTTGAAACATTTGACTGCAGCTGTTGTGCTATCATCTGCATTGTGTGACTGTTTGCAACATGCCGTAGCCCTCACCATGCATGCAAAAACACTAATCAACACTATGACACAAGTTATGTGCCACTACTGGCTGTTTACCTAGTTAGCACTGGCATAATTCTGGTTACCAAAGATGCATTCTTCTCCTGCTTTTTGTCGCTCCCTCGTTTTATGCTACATTGCTAGATGGCAGCCATTAAGGGTGAGACTTGTACAGGGTTCACACTTCACTTCTTGACTCTTGTGATTGGATAGAGTGAATCACTGATGCCCTTGAAATATAGACACAGCATTGCAGTTCATCACACTGCTGGATTCAAATATACAGCATGTTAGTTGCTGGAAATTTGGAAATCTAGACGTGAACTGAAGCTCTTCTTGCTGTGTTTTTTGACACAATTTGATTGGTCTTATTCGCTGCCAGTCATCATGTTTAATAGCAAAGAATGGATTGCTGAAGAAGCAGCCAAGTTTGAACCTGATCATCAGTTGGGACCTTTTTTGGTAGAGTTTATATGGCCAAAAATATGGATGTGAGTGTAAATGATCATCGTTGTGTCTGCGTTAGCCCTGTGATCGACTGACACAATGTCCAGAGTATATCCAGCTTCTCACCCAATGTAAGCTGAGATAGACTCTGGTTCCACCACCTGATAACTTGTTAGGAAGATGGATGGATGGATGGATGGACCAGCAGCCCAATGGGTCAGAGAACCTGCCTAAAAGATTGCAAAGGGATTAAAGTAATATCAAACAATTGCAAAGAGACACAAAATGCCCAGAAAATAAAAAAATTAAATCAGAAACGTAAAAAGACCACAAAGCTCCTTTTAAAAAGGAATCACGGCAGCACTTTCTAAAGGTTAAGGAATTTTTGGGATGGGGGCTTGCAGTGCTCAATATCAGTCAGCTGCTATTTTTAAAAAACGTACAATTGAATTTTTGCCCTTCCACGTGAAGAAGAAATACTGCCATCGCATGACCATTAACAAACTCAAGGCCAAGTTAAGCATTTATGCAGAGAAAAACATACATCAATGCAGTGAAAAGGCCTTCATTAAAAACTTTTAAAGGTAATCAGTTATGCATAGTAGTACTCTAGTATAGTAAAAAGAAGGATGATTTTGAAATGTAAATCATGCAAAGCTACTCTGGTGCAGGCTAAGAATAAAAATGTGAAACTGGAAATGAGCAAAAAAATTCCTTCTTAATAAATATTACAAAAAAAGTGCCATATACAATTAAGCAACACTTAGAGGAGCAGATACATTGAGCAGCAGTAGGTTTCTCCTGCTGCAGTGTCCTATAGCCTGACACAGACAGGTTGTAAACAGACTGAGAGGCAATTTAATGTTACATGCAGTTATTACAGGGTAAATTTAAAGTATAACAAACTTTTGGAATCATTATCTTATAAATTGATGAGCAGGACATCATGTTCAAACGTACAGCCTGATTTCCACTGTTTTCCTGCACCTGTAGCAGCTTTAGTTTTACTCGCTTCTTGTCTTCTGTTGCCTCTTTTGCGTCTCTGTCAGCCTCTAAACAGCTCTAACCTCATTTCTAAAGCCTTTTGAAATGTTCTCTGAGCAATTTAATAAACTTAGGTGTTAAATATAGCCACACAAAGCCCATGCTATATTTTACAAGTGATACAAGGCTGAAAAATATCTTCTTAGTGTCAGCTGAGCCCAAACAATGCATTTCCGACCAATCAGTAATATAGGGGAACCTGTTAAGATGATGAAGTGACTCAAAAGCATTCAAAATCCTTGAAGCTTGTCAACTAATGCTTCAGCTAAATGCCTCACTGCCTGAAAGGCATTATTATCATGAGTGGTTGGTGATGGAAATTTGACATTTCCATAACAGCTGCCGTGTCACTCCAGCTTGAAACATGAAGCAAAAACTAATGGCAGCCCGGCGAGTGGCGTGTCCAGAGTCTGCTCAGATCATGAAGGGCTTCTATTTTTTTCTGAGTGAAGAGGAAAACTGTCAGTCATCTATTATACCGCTTTGCTGAAGGAACACCCTGTGTGAATCCCTATTGAGCATTACCAAACCACAATGAAAGAAGCTTTTACTTTAGGCTATTTATGTGACTGCCAGTGTTGCTAATTGGTTACTTTAAAGGTGTGTTTGCTGTGTTATTTGGAGCAGCTCTTAATCTGCTTACAGGATCAGAGACTGCATTTAGTAAATCAGAGACCCTCGGCAGTGCTGCGCTTAGAATCGTACTCTAAGAGAAGAAGAGTGTGAAAACCGAGAGATTAAACCTGCAATGCAGTGCACGTCTGTCTTCATGTGTTTCACCATTAAGGTGCTGTTAATGGCAGGTCTCTCTTTCCCTATAAATTGTACTGAGAAACCGGAAACTCGTGTCTCTGTGAATTATCTGCAGTCTAGTAGCACCTATCGCACCCTGCTGTGATAATCAACAGATCAATGCCTTTTGGGCAAAGCCAGCACAGTTGGATTGCTGCCGTTTTGGAAAGAAAATGATCAAGGAACAGGTGATTGCTTTTGGTGATCGCGCATGTCATCCGTCTAAGCATTAGAAACAATACTGCTGAAAAAATTTAGGGAACACTCATTGCAGCATAACACAAAGTCCATGAAAGTTCAGGGATATGAATCTGTCCAGTTAGAAAACAACGTTTTGTGAGTCCATTTAATCTGTTTTGGTCCAAACCATAGTGACAATAGGTGTTCTGGAGAAGTGACAACAAGGCCACCCCACTTGAAAAACAAAACCCTCTCTGCTTATCTTTACTGACTGATTTTCTCTAGTTTATCTTTTTGGTTATTGTTCTTTGCTAATATGATGAAATGGTACCTGGACCCTATTCAAGTTGCATAAGTTTCCCAGCTTTTTCAGGAGGGCATCCATATGTGCCAACACAAGAAGGTTTGCTGTGTCTCCCAGCATTCTAAAGAGTATGAAGGAGATACCAGGAGAAATATAAGGAGAGCTAAACAGGTCGTAGAAGGGCATCAACCCAGCAGCAGGCCCAGTATCTGCTTCTTTATGAGAGGAACAAGAGATCACTTCAGAATGACCTCCAGCCAGCTACTCATGTGCATCTTTCCTACCAAACT